TTTTTTCCCCGCTGAATCTGGTTACCCATCGGTTTTGAACCATTTTCGGCTTTGACCCTTGGGGGATCGCGGGGGTGTTTGAATGCCGGTATATCTGCACATTGGATCATGGCCTACCGGGATTTGAACGATAAAATTCCCAAGAAGCCGGAACGATAGACTGAGTTGAATCCGCGGAGTTAGAAAACAGGATTCTAGCGATATGATTTATCTTGTGCTTTTCCTTCAGTCGAATTCTGTTTCTACCGGTAGGGGTGAAAGCGACCATTAGTTCTGTTGGCTAAAACAAGGCCCGCTGCCTTGCTAGGAGATCGCTGGTCGGAAGCTGATAGGGTCACTACAGCCGCTGTGAAGTGGTATTTCTTTAGTGTAATAACATTCCCTAGTCAAACTGTAAGTGCCATCACCTTGAATATGAGTGAGGGGGAAAATGTTCATCCCGGGTTTCATGCTCTATCCTTCCGATATGGGGTTCACCAACAAACGCTGTCTGGTGTTGTACCCAGGGTGCAGGTTTGGACCATTTTTGTGCATCCTGCTGCTGTAACTGATTCTCTTGCAGGAAGAGCTTTAAGGAATGTAATCTATTTCTGATTGAATATTTTTCCCCTTTTTTTGCCTGTTGTGTGATAAGAAAAACTTCAGCACGAAGCGCCAGACCGGTACTCGAGGACTCCCAACCCTTACCGATCCAGTTCGATTCCCAAACCAAAGATCGAGTAGGAGAAAAGTTCCTGGTAAAGAAAAAGAAAAATATCGACCCACGCTTATGCTTGCTTTTGCTGGTGGTGGTATGTCTTGAATCGGAACGTCAGTGCAGCGCAGCATGGGGGCTGCATCAGCCTGGCATAAGCGGCAAATCCCCAAAAAGTTCAGCCGCTGATAATACGAGTGATATATAATGCTTTTCAGTAACAATGCTACGTCATGAAGATATTAGTGGAAATCGTCGTATATTAGGGCAATATCTCCACGATAACCGCTAGGCGTGTGCCAGCAAACTGAGGTCTTTTAGAAGAACCGTAATTGTTAGCCTAGCCATCGTACCGATCTGCATGGTAGAATAGAGGTGCTTTGTGGAAGGGAAGCAGAGGATCTTTGCTCTTCCAATCGGCTTTGGGAAATATCAGCTTTTAGCTGAAATTTTGCAGAAGCACCAGCACCTTGCGGACAGGCGTGCAAATATCATACCGTAAGCGTACAGCCTGCCGCTTAGCCTTCGAGAGGTATTTGATGTCAGTGTTGGTTCCGGAAAGCCTCTATAAAGCGGCTATGCTCTGAGGTTCGGAGGGTAGAGTATAGCATTATATGCCTTTGTTGGTGTTGAAGCTGCTAATGAGACCAACAAACTAGATATGTTAATCTGGCCTATTGTAATAATGCATATTATTATCTTAGTGAAATAATTGTGGGAGGTAATTGAAGATATCTTATCGTGGGTAAAAAAGAATATTATCGTTCATGATTCTTGGCCGGTGCTTTCCGTCGATGAACCTGCCATGACGGTGAGGAACAACACGGATCTCTTATGTGGGGGCGGGCGGTCTGGCTCGCACATGCACCAGTGCTCCCTGGGGGTTTCCACCCTCGTGCCTCATCGCTGCAGGGCTCGGATGATCTAACAATTTTCACCACTGGGAGCTAGGCCTGGCATAGCAGTGAGGAAGGTCGGGGGTAGAGCGGCTGATGTAACTTACTAGGTAATCAAAAGGGAGATGTATTTTTTTACCCATTCAAAGGGGGACGAGAGAAGGTTAGACGAGATGGTGGAGAGTTTTCATTATTTTGTATAGGGTATCCTCCCCCCCTAGACCTGATGATACGCAGGGTACATCCTGTTACTGCGAATTGTGTGGTACAGTATCATACACGTATGTACGCTTTATGGACTACGCGTGGGCTCCGCGTTTTTTACCTACGGAAAAACGCCCATCGTTTGTATTGGACTCCTTTGCTTCCTGGAGGTAAAAATATAGGCTAGAGTTTACAAAAGAACCACTGTTTTGGCTCCCGCCCACCGCGGCTTACTGAGGGGAAGACTTTGGTGTGTCATGATCTATCACTCGAGATGTTCAAAGAAAGGCCATTTTCAATTGTGGCACAGCGAGTGAATTCGTGAGAAAGAATGAAGAGTGAATGCGAAACGTGTGCACTGCCGAAGCAGCACAATTTTAGAGCTCGGTTGGAGCTGGAATATTGACATCAAAAGCTTGTGATTTAATGCAGCCCACATAGGTGGAGCGAATGATGAATGAAGGTTTTGACAAGTAAGTTATTAACTTACGAGCAGGCGGGCCTCACCGCCGCGATCATATGGGGCACATGACCTTTCTAGAGTATTGATAATGGAAATGAGCCGGAATAAAACGGTAAATGGAAACGTTCAGCAAAGATATCGAAGCTTGAAATCCGTTGCCGGTTTGGAACATGTCAATATAGTAGCTCTAGTATATGTATTGTAATTAATTTAGCTGCAGCATTGCGTTCCGCGGTAGTACCTGCTAATTACGATATCGCACATCCACTGGTTCCTCAACTGAGTTGGGTTACCCTCTTCAGTCTATCCATTTTGTGATATGTATGATACCCATTTTCGTTTTGGGGAAAGTTTTCCCGAGTGAATCTGGTTGAGGGCACAGGTTATCGTTGAGAATCTTATGTTGGGTGTTAAAACCATGCGGGCTGACCCCGAATCAAGAAATTGACTCTGCCAGGGTGATCTGCCGCATGGCGGGATGAGTTGCGTTCGTGGCACATCCAGGCCTTCATAAGTACGTTTTGGAGTTCTGGACCAAGGAGCTTCCCGGGCTTGATGCTACTGATCATTCCATTAGACTTTTTATGATATCAATCACAGAAAAGTGGGGTCTACTCCACACAATTACGGTTTGGGGTTTCGCATCTTGCTGTCTCGGCTTTATTTCGAGTGATGGCCAATGACTTGGTGGTAAAATTTTTTTGGCTTAATAGCTGGGAACGTTCTCTTTATCACATGTACAGTACATTTCTGCCTTCTGTCTACCTAAAACAAGGCTCGTTTTAAAGTAGGCAGGAGTGCTCAAGTGTGGTTCAGGAAGAGTATCCTTGACCGTGACCTTTAGTCATAGTAGCGGGCGTTAACTCACGAGAATGTCGGTATGGTGTTTTTCTTATGATGCATATCGTACCTCGGGGAACAATCTCTCTTTCTTCCTTTCCCTGGGTGAATACAGTAATGTCGTAGCACAGGTGTGATGGATCCATAGTCCACAACTTCTCATGATACCTCTTTAAGTAGCTCTTGGATTCTAATCTTGCCGCTCGTTATTTTCATAGGCAGGGGATAAACACCGTTATGTAGAAGGGACTGGAGGTTTAGCTTAGGTGGCTAGGGTCTGTGTGTCATCTGATATAAAGAGGTGGTTATTTTGGGAATCTCTAATTTCACATGTTCACACAAACTACTAAACTGCATCTTTAATCTTCAAATCTTGAGTTTTTATTGGAATGGCTGAATATTCCATCCAGCTGAAGATGGGTGTAGCCGGATAGCTTGTCCTTGTGGTCCAGGGCCACGGGAGGCGGAAGGTTTGGTGTGAAATGGGCCAAACAAATGGGTGACTCTAGGAGGGAGACTCAGTGCATGTGTCTAGGGGGAGTGGGCTGTCTCAGTGATGACTCGGATCCTTGATGCCAGGTAAGGTCTCCGGTAGTTATGCCTTTATGGGTTTTTTTTTTCTCTAGACATGGCAAGATGTTAAAGGCTAAGGAAAGCCTAATAATTGGTAGATTAAACCTACGGACTCCGCTTGGATTAAATTTCCTTACTCACTTGATATCTACGATAATATCGTCCTCGGTAGATTTGGGCTCAGAACTGCAATTTTGAAAAGCGCTACCCTCTGACAGAACATTGGAAGCATTAAGATTGCCAACGCTAACAGCTGACATCTGTCCCCCAAGACAGCCCTTACTAGCAACTCTCGGGTCGCTGGGTTTCGCACTTTTTGGATGGCTTTGGGCGCGAGATTGTAGTTTTTATCTTTTCTCTACGTTATCACTCTAGTGGGGAGGTTGCTTTTGCCGATGCCAGGAGGGCTCTTGCTTATTCAACTGATGTTCATTTTCTTCGATGTCTTTCAGGGGGTTTTTTTTTTTACGAGATGTTAAGGTTCCTTCCGAACTTCCCCCTGCTTTCCACCGATTTTCCGGTTGGAATTTCTTTCGCTGGCATTCGTGGGGTTTCTTGTTACTCCTTGTGGCGTCTCTTCGGGTCTCGTCGGGAAGGTGTACGCCAATCTCCCTTCCCAGTCCAGATCTGCTTGCTATGTTTTGCCTTCAATCTTAGCCTACGGTCCTAAGTTTGAATGGTTTTACTTGCTGATGAGTCCATGATTCCTTCAGCTATTTAGCAACCTAGTCGTTCGATTTGCGTCTTTTCTTGGTGGAATGATATGATACAGATTGTAGGAATATAAGAACATCCGGACAAAATTTGGCAGAGTCAAAGTTCCATACTTTATCCTTCAACTATTCTAACGCCCACCTGAAATACAGAGGCTTAAGGCATACTCGCCCAGCCGATTTGAGTAAACTCTCACTGATTCTTTTCTTCTTCTCAACGACACTTCAGCGCCACATAACTGTCGGCGTCGGAATTAGGTTTAAACCTGTTCTTGATAGCCTTTCTCAGTGCTACCTCTGCTCGAGGGTGATGTGTTTTCCCCTCTTTGCTACTCATTTTTGTTCGGATGCTTTTAAATCTTTACAATGCCGCATCCCTGGAGATCTATACTCACCTAGAAGACAAATATTGATCATGGGATTACTAGAATATGATCTTAAGCTTTATGGCACACAGTAAACCAAGCCATGAGCCGAAAATGGATGACCCGGCTACCTAGTTTGAGTTCTACTAGGGCACTGCAGCTACGCTTCCCTATTCTCCCAAACATCCAGCCCACCCACCCGGTATCTAAGGGGAAAATGATGTTAAAAAAAATCAACGAAAAGGACAATTTCGTCAAGAACAGGATTCGAACCTGCGCGCCCGAAGGCATCCGCTGACTAGCTCCTTCAGAGATTAGCAGGCGAACGTGTTAACCACTCCACCATCTTGACGAACACTGTAAATTTACTACCCTTTGCTCTTTATAACCTTTTGATAACCGGAAAATTGCCAAGCATTCCCGCTCTGGCAAGGTTTGCAGCAAAGGTTAGGTTGGTTGACGCATCTGCCCGGCGGCTAGCCTCGTCGCACGAGGATAGCGCCTAGATGAAATCCTTAAAGAGTAAGAAGTAAGTTTGAGCGGGGAAAGCAAGTAAAGATGGTGGAGTGATATTGCAGGCGTGGATGGGCTCGTCCTGGCCTGCGTTGATATTCGTGGTATTGTCAAGTTGATTATGTGCCTAGTATTCGTTAATTCTAGGGACGAAATTGTCACACTTAGAGGGGCTCTAGGACCCTCTGGGCAAGAAGTGATAGTAGACAAGAACATTCCAAACGAGCACCGACTGCTGAAAATAAAGTTTTGATTTAATTTTATCTTCGTTCTACCTCTTCGGTCCATCACTGTTTCCTGTAGGGCGAGGTCGATGAAATCCCACTTGTGACCATCCGGTCGTGCCACTTGACTGCGTTTCTGAGAGGCGAACATCACATATGGAGGTAATCTCTATCACCAACATGTGAGACACCTGTGATATACTGGTAGGATAATCCATACGTCAATAACCCACAAATAAACATTTGCACGAGGAGGTACTGTAGGTGAGAGAGTGGTCAACACATTCACCTGCCGGGCTCTCAAGAAGCTAGTCAGCAGATATCTTCGCGCGCAGGGTCGGATCCTGTTCTTGACAGGGTTGATCTTTGTATCTGGATACCTTTTCTCTCTCTTTCTTTTTTCCTTCCTTGCTCTGGGAGCTGGTTTTAATGTCCTACCGATGGGAGAAGGTGGTGGTTTGTTTCTGGGGGGAAGGGTACAGGGGCCTAATTAGTGTAGTTGGGAAGGGAAATTATGTCGGGAGATAAGGGGGGGGGGAATAGGTCATTTTTTTTTTGATTGCGCTTGGTGATAGTCTTGATTCGCTGTTTGTGATGCCATGGACTTGGTCGAAAGGAGTCAATCGGAGTAAACTCGAGAGAATTTCTTTTCTGCTATCTAGCTCATTTCTCGTTGGCAACATGGGGATCCGCCAATTTTAGCAAGGGACAACGGGAGACAGTTTGGAAGTTCCCACCATCCGACCCACTCTCGCAATCGAAGTGCCATTAAATGTGGGGACACTATACGGCAATTGTGCCCCCTTTCTTCCCCCTTCCCCCCAACCTCATTCAAGGCTCTTTTTGGCATGCCATCATAATTTATTATTACAGAGAAACCCCATTTCTCTCTCGTTCAGCGCACGACTCCCATAGCATAAATTATGGCATAATATTATCAAAGTTTTTATATAAAAGGGTGTGTTCGGTGCATACAAAAATATTGCAATATATGCTTTATTTTCGAAAAATGTAATTTTTTAAGCCCTATTTGGAATGCCACACACATACCATGGTATTTCCACCTTTATATCACTTTTTTCATGGTATTTTCATAATTGATTCTAGGTGTAAAAATCAACATATTAAACAATGCCTTTTCATAATATACCTTAGTTCATAGGTATCTTATAGCTAGAATTTAGTTTTTACAATTATTTTTCATAGTTATAAAGTTGTTTTACTTTGAAAATAAAAATAGTGAAAATAGGACAGCTTGTCTTAGTAAGGATTTTTTTTTGGGGAGGGGGGTTATTTTATCTCAAATATGTTTTCCCAAACCCATTTGATACTTTTTTGGTTTATATTTTTTACTTTTGTAAGAACATGAGTGAGACTCCATGGCTTCACAAGAATGCCATTAAGAAATTTGTATTTAGAAGGTTATCATATCATCAGTAGGACTAGGGATGGCAAACTTGAACTTCAACAGTTAGTATTTTCAATATACTTAGTTGAATAGTTACTCTTCTTTCTGCTATTACTTTTATATAAGTACCTGTTCAACAACTTTGCAAATAGAGAGAAGGATGACTCAGTATTCTACTGGAATCTCCCTTAGCAACACAGCTCTCACTAGTATGGTACCGGTACCTAAACTAACACCTCCCACCTCTGCCTAGTGTATTACTCAGCAGCATGATTTGTGCCAAGACATGAATATGTGGCACTACTAGCTATGATACAGTGAATCATAATGTGATAACGTATTCAAAGCGATAGCGAGCCCCCGGCATAGCGAGCCATCCACCAAAATTCTAATCACCATTTAAATTTAAATCCCAACCGAGATTCAACCAATCACCTCCCTCAAACTTGCAGATGGCTCGCTATGCTGGGGGCCCGCTCGCTATGGCGTGGAATACGTTATCTGAAGTAATATCAATGTATCATAGTTGGGGTTAGATTGAAAGGTTTTGGGTGGCAACCAGATGCGCGGAAAAAAAGTATGGGAAATAGGATCGAGATGAGGACAGGACTGTTACCATAGTCTAACTCCGCCTTGCTCTGCCGTTGTGGTACCGAGGTCGAGAAGGGATGTCTCGGGAGGGGAAGATAGTTTCCCCGAGATACCGGTATATTTAGGTCAAGGAAATATTAGACCTTTGATGACATGACAGACATTTTGAGAATGAGAATTGAAGGAATCCAAAGTGGCTCCTCAGTTTCCTGTTTCCCGTGGCCCTCACACTCCTGGGAGAGAACCCCACAGTCTGTGCGAGTATGAGGTGTATCTTCCCGGGAAAGTTGTGGGGAAAGCTGAGTTAGATACCCGGTGAGGTGAGTGCAGTTTTCTGAGAAAGGGAAAGTATAGAAGAGCAGACACTCGTAGTGTCCAAATTTCTAACGTGTTCAAGATACCTCTACTTTCACTGCGATCCCTCGCACACAACCTTAATAGCACTGCGTGCTTGGTAAAATGTTCACAGGTCGTTAGTGCGATCTTTTCCGCACATGAGCGAGATTATGCTTCATCTTGCATACTTTCTCTGGATCCTCATTCCAAGAGAAACCTCGGTGTATACTCGTTTCGCTTTCTGCTAAAGGATTTTACATAATATGGTAGTTAGAAAACCAAAGCAAAGTAAGGTTAGGGGCTATAGTAACCCAAGCCCATGCAAGGTTTTAGGACGACAAAAATCCAACGGCTGGCCTAACATATAATCGGAAGGTTTGAGATTTAACCCCGCGGGGCTAGCCATCCCCAGCTGCCTATCCTTCTACCATGCTACATTGTTTTTGCGCTGGGCTATCTGAGCCTTTAGTTTGCGTGATAAATTTTTTTTCCTACAACTGCCGTTCATCCCAGTCGAATCCTTGCCGTCTCTCTGGCGACATAATGTGCACGATGGAGAAGAATCTCTCTATTACGGTACTCTCCGAGACATCGCGGTATCCCGCTTTGGAGCTTTGGACATATAATTTGTACCTGCGTTCTAGAGATTAACTTAGGTACAGGTATCATAACTCAGCAAAGTCACACATTGGTGTGCCGCCTAGATTTAATAATACCCACGGAGAAAAGCGTCACCGTTGTGGGCACCAGGATGGACAGAAAGTGTGTGTGCCGATATTGCTGTGACGGCCAGAGGCGACTCCCGATTAACAAGATCCCGCTTACCATGTACTGCATCACTCTCACCCTGGATCCCGAAATGGGCTGTGCAAGTGCCGTGAGGCTGCCCCCCTAATATCATCGGATCCCAGCTGTCTTACTCGATTACGATCAATAAAAGCCGCAGTGAGGGTTTTCTATAAGCAGGAGCGCGGGAAGACGGAGGCTGCCGGTACTTTTTATATGGGCGCTCTCAGAAAGAGCATATGTCAAGCGCTACTCGTGCGATTCTAATAGCCAAGATATTCTCTCTTCACTCAACGATGATAATACTGCCCTCCAGACAATGAAGGACAATATCCTTTCTCTTGCTGGGAACGCCAGCTGGGGAGGGCTATCCAATACAGCACCACACTTTATTCAAGCGATTCCAAAGCATTTTCAATGCTGTCTTGCAGGAGTGACTGACGCTGAAGAATCTGCTTCAACGTCCTACTCTCTCTCTTTACTGGTTGGGAATTTCAATGCGTTGGCAGAGTTTATTGGACTACATATTGGGTGCACTGAATACCCGTATGGAGGACATAACCCGTGAACGTGCTATAGTGGCGTTACTAGCCAAACCAGAGAAACCCCTTCATATAAATAAATAATCACAAAATGTTCACCCTATTTCAATCAATAGACTCACTTATTTGTCAGAAATGACCACTCATAGGAACGGTTCACTGGCTGATCCTGGTATCCGAGCACTTCCCCATGTTTCCGCTCAAAGTATCTTACGTCCCTGCAGACGTACGGAACGTGCTGCCTTAAGGGCTGACCAAAAGTGTGCTCTTTTGAGACATGTTGTCCTTGGTACTCGTGCTAGGGGAGAAGTATCTAAAAACAGGGATCCGCAGAATACTGTACAACAAGTACGAGTACAGTACATGGCAAAAAAATCCGTGCGGATCTGAGGCCCTATACGAACTCACAACTCGTATTTTTCGATGGTTCTTGTCTAGGACAAGTATATAAAGTCTTGCTCTCTCATCCGAAGTCCCGTCCCATCAAATATAAATACCGTACCAAACTCAAATTGGACCCAGGCATTGGCCTTCTTGAGTCATCCATTTTTCTCTACAAATTAGATTCTGTGTAAGAGGTTTCTCTGCCCGCTGGGCTGGATTTCTCTTTCATTGGATCCTTCAATTGTGGATGGGTACAACCCCCGCATAGTACCTCTAGGTTATGACATGACGACCCAGATCACTCAACGTCCATAGGGAGGTTTCGAAACAACCAACTAACAGGGAAAACAAATAGCATCCTTTAGAGCCTGAAAGCGGGGTAGTGTGATAAAAGCCTAAAATTCCTCCAAGCTAAGAAAGTAACTGCGACACTCTCGTGAAAGAGATCCCCTTTCACGCGAAAATCAACTAAAACGTCCATGGATTTGATTTCCCTCTTCAGCAGACTTGAAAATCTCCACCCCAGGGTCCAACTTCCGTACCCTTGTGTAAATCCTTTCTCCTCTCC